GGCGGGGCTCCGGAACCACGGCAACACGTGCTTCATGAACGCCACGCTGCAGTGTCTCAGCAACACCGAGCTCTTCGCCGAATACCTGGCGTTGGGCCAGTACCGGGCCGGCCGCCCCGAGCCCTCGCCGGACCCGGAGCAGCCCGCCGGCCGCGGCGCGCAGGGCCAGGGCGAGGTCACCGAGCAGCTGGCGCACCTGGTGCGGGCGCTCTGGACCCTCGAGTACACCCCGCAGCACAGCCGCGACTTTAAGGTGAGCCCCGCCGCTCTGCACCCGCATCTCGGGGCACCTGCGGGGCCAGCTCCTCCTCCGGGGCTCCCGCCGCGCTGGGGATTCATTCAGATGGGCTAGGACCGACTACCTTGATTGTAAGGGATTCATTGATTCGTTCGCTGGTTCCTCCAGCTTGCTTTTTAGTTAGCGCTGTGGGTTAAGCCCTGTGATGCCCCAGTGGGCAGGACTGGCTTCAAGGAGTTTGCGTTCTTGGAGGTGGGAGTTTGGAGCCTGGATGCAAATTCTTGTTTGTGCCACCACTTGGCTGTGTGATCTTGGGCAAGTTGATCGACTGCTCTGGACCTCACTTTTCTGGTACCTGCCACATAAATCTCTTGCGAGTTTCAGGGTGAAAACGCTGTGAAATTATTCCCATGTTTGGCCCGGAATTTTTTCTGTGTGCGTGTAGAAAAGCATTTTTAGAGGATTCAGAAAATACAAAGCAAAAACGTGCACCAGTATTCAAGTTTGGACATGAACAGTGCAGCGACACTGATTACATCTTTCCCACTTGATTACATTCTTGTGGTTGTGCAACCATTTTCACCCACTTTTTCTGAGTTGTTTATCCTCCATTAATATAAACTCCCTGCTGCCTAAGCTTCCTATTTAAACTTTTGAGTTGCTATTGAAGATTGGTTCCCATATAGATAGAACTTAAGAGAGTGTAATAAGGCACAAAGTAGACTTTTCTTTTTTTACTTAAGACTATTTGGTTTTAAGACTTTGTGGGGGGGGGGTGCGTATTCTCAGCGTAAAGTTTACCGATTATTGCAAGGCTGTATAGACCATTTGGTTTTAAGACTTCCAGGGGTCATTTTTAGTTTAAAGTTTACTGATATCCCAAGGCTGTAGTTTCAGTAATGCAGTTTAAATTCCGTTTTGCGTTGTGCTTCCTACCAACCCAAAGACACGTGGTTCAAAGCCACCAGCTTCTCTGTGGGAGAAGGATGGGCATTCGCCTCACATACAATTTGCTGCCTCTGAAAACTCACTGAAGGGTCAGCTATGGGTTGGTTCCAACTGGATGGTTTGTAACACCACCACCATCACCTTTTGGATCAGATTCTTTCAGAGAAACTTTGGTTAAAATATTCAGTAATGGTTGCTGGGCACCATCCAGTTCTTAGGATCTCATAGCAAAGAAAGCACTTGTTCGTGGGTGCACAGTCCATACTTTCCTCCTATTCCCGATAGGCGGCTTTCTTTACCTTAGAGGCTGGGATTGGGGTGACCTTTCAGCAGAGGGTCCATTTAAAATGAAACTTGAGTGACCACAGTGAGAGCTAATGGTGAGAAGGGAACGAGCTTGGTGCACTTTAAGAACAAGGTTCCTAAGGTTCAGTGGACTTTTTCAGTAACATATTTTTAGGCTTTAGTGGAGTAAATGTACGATCCAGAATATTCTGTAGGTCCTTAGGCGTCGAAGGGGGCATCAATTTCCCATTTTTTAATTAATGGAATTAAAAAGATGATGATGATAATTGCGTACAGTATTTTGCAGTATAGGCCTGGGTGACACAAATGGGTTCGTGCTCTACTCCTAGGTGAAAGGTTAGTGGTTTGAACCAAGACAAAGGTGCCTTAGAAGATAGGCGTGATGATCTTTTTCTAACATGTCAAAGCCTTGAGAAGCTTGTATTAAAGTTCTTGTGTGCTCTCTAGTCACTTCCAAGCCACACCGTGTATAACAACACAAAGCACTGCTTGGTCTTGTCTTATCTTCACGTTTGTTCTTGTGTTGGAGCCTGTTGTTGCAGCTTCTGTATCTGTCATTCCATCTGCACAGAGTCTTTCTATTTTCACTGAGCCTCTGCTTTACCAAGTGTGATGTCCTCCTCCAGCGACTTGCCCCTCCTGATAACATGTTCAAAGTAAGTGAGATGAAGTCTTGCCATGCTTACTGCTCAGGAGCATTCTGGCGATTATTCTTCCCAGACAGATTTATTCATTCTTCTTGGAGCAGTATGGTCAGTATTTCTTCTGCTGGAAATAGTGCAGTTGGTGTGATGGTGGCAAAATCTGACCTCGCAGGGGAAGATTCCCTAGAAGAACAGTAGCACAAAGCTGTTTATTAGGTCAGACCTGGCCCCCATATTTTCTTTTATCAATTCTAATTACAGCCATCCCTGTGGAGTTCCATAATCTGTTGCAGTGGCCATACAGAATTCACAGACAATACTCAACAATTATGGGATTTGTTAGGGAGGTAACAGGTTAGAACTTAGGCTGGAAACTCTTCTAGAAAAGTTTTCAGGGGAGAATAGGTTAAGAGTGGATGGATAATGAACATTGCGCTGGAATAGATGAAGGAAAGAACTGTTTAAAGGGAATATGGGATTAGGTATTATATGTATGACAACAGCCCAGAATAAGAGGTACTGGAGGGAGGGGGAAAGAGGATAATTGTGAAACAATGAATGAATATTTTTTAAAAACAAACCAAAAAAGTGAGTTGAGGGGGTGGGAAAGGGAGGAATGCACAACAATGAATAAATGAAAATCTAACTTTTGTGCAAACTTTAGTTAAAATCACAATTAAATGATAAAAATTTCTTTAATAAAAACAAAAGAAGATAAAATTCTTCAATCAAAACAGCCCCTTCTCAGGCAGGTTGTCCTCTGATTGTTGGCCTCTGGGCTTCGTGTTCTGCGAGTTACACTGCCTGTTATCTCCACCTCTGCCAGTAAGCATAGGCTGAGATGCTTTGCTCTGGGGAGTAGCAGACCTCGCTCAGCTCTGTTTATACTGGTCTCTGATTCTCCAGCGCCTTGTTGCTGCTGGTGGGACTCTTGGTGGCTGCTGGTCTAGGCTGCTACGTGATATTCTGTCTCTCACAGGATCCCCTGGCCTAAAGGATATGCTACACACGCCTTCTTAGTGAGACTCCCCTTTTCTGCCAGTGAATTTGCTCAGTTTAAGCCTGATTGAATCGCAAAACTGACCAGTCTATATGTTAGTGGTCTGGGCATTTTATTTGCATGCTTCTAGCCAAGCCATGAAAAAGCAAATAGTTGAATGGGTAGAGTTTTTGTGGTTGCTGTCAGCTCTGTAACCGATCATGCAGTGAAGAGAACATGAGGGTTGAGTGGAAGGAAGACTGGAGCTAAATGGTGCAGGTCAGTGATGCCAGTTTGGAGACTAAGGTGCAGCTGATTCAAGTCATAGTCTTGACCCAGGTGCTCACTTTCCATTTACCTGCTGTGCATCAACGAGTTGGACAACAAGTAAAGATGCTAGAAGAATCGATGCCTTGGAGTTGTAGTGTTGGAGAAGAGAAGATTCTAAGCACAAGGGAACTACCATAATTTGGTATTGTTTGAGGAGTACTTTAGATTGGAAGGGGACTTTGGGACATAATCTGTAGAGAGCTGTGCTGTTAACTAAAGGCTATGTCAGGTGGTTGGAATCCACATCCATTCTGCAGGAGAAAGATGGTCTGTCTCCTCCTTGTGCAGTGTGTTGTTGTATACCTCAGAGTTGGAACCGACCCATAGCTGGCCCTCCAGTGGGTTTTCAGAGGCAGTTAATCGCTCTGGGGGAGATTGCTCATCCTTCTGTGGAGCAGTTGGTGGCCTTGAACCAGGATTGCAGTGCAGCTTCTTGCCCCAGGCCACCAGGCCAGCCTCAGAAATCCAAGAGGGTCAGCTATGAGAGTCTAGTCCCAACTCAGTGGAAATGAGAGAGTGAGTTTAGGTGGGAAGCAGGGAAGGTATTACATAAAATTAAATTGGACAACTAGAAAGTTAAATATTTTCTGTTCTTTCTGTCCTGGTCATGTCCAAGAGAACGTTTCAGCTAGGTGTTAGTTGGCGTGGCCTTACACCTCCTCTCGTAGTCTTACCCCCTCTCCTGTGTGCCCTTTGTTTCTTTGGGTTTTATCCCTCCCCCCAAATATATTTTTTTTTTAATTTTAAACAGAAAATGAGTTTCAGGCATACTGTTTCACATGCAGCAGTACCTAGAATTTAATAAGATTCCGTTTTCATTGGATTTGTTTTTAACATCTGTCTCCCATCTATGGCAAGTATACTGGTTTTCCATTGGTGTTAATGTTTCTTTCTAAAATAAATTAAGTAAAAAAATTGTTTTGATGAAAATGTAAATAGTGGCCTGGCCAGGCAGTCTGTACTAAAGGGATAATAGTTACGGAGGGAGCTCTGGTGGCCTGGTGGTAAGATTCTGCGCTGCAATCCTGAAGGCATGTGGTTCGAATCTGCTAGCTTTTCCCCGGGAGAAGAATGGGCAGTCTCCTCTTGTGTGCAATTAACTGCCTCTGAAAACCCACTGTGGGGGTCAGCTATTGGTCAGTTCTGACTCAGCAACACCACTAAGTAGTTAAGGACGGAGCTCTGGTGGCTTAGCGGTAAAGAGTTGTGCTGCCAACCAGAGGTGGTGGTGGTTCGAATCCACCAGCTTCTCCAAGGTAGAAAGAAGGGTATTCTCTTCACATAAATTTCTGAAATCTGCTGGAGGGTCAGTTATGAGTCAGTTGCAGCTTGATGGCACGTAACAACACAACAACAGTAGTTAAGTTTATTCAGCTCTGTTTTTCTCAAAAAGAAAAGTTACTGTTTGATCCTGTGGGAACAACAAAGCCAAGGCCATCTCACAGAGAGAAAGCTGGGAAGAATGGCCACCTGCTGGTGACTCCATGTTCTGTGAGTTTAGGCCCAGCACTTGTAAACTTGTCAAGGTTAGAGTTTACAGTGGGTTTGGAATGTGCAGCTCGGCCTCTACAGCGCCTTTGTACGTGAGGTTACTGCGACTGCTTTTCTAAGAGGTTGCTCTGCTTTTTGATCCATTAAGGAGCTGCGACAAGAAATGGGTCAGTAATTCTAGAAGAGCAGACTGATTCATAGGCGTACTTTGGCAGTGATGAACAGATTCTTAGAGGCATTGTTTTTAAAACATGCGCTCTTTTGAACTTTTGTTGGATTTCATTCATTCAGCTCCAGGAAGCCCTACTCACAGCACC